AACGGTGACGCCACACGTCTTATTTCAGCTTCCACCTCACCCTCCAATTGGCAGAGCGCACCTCCCATTGGAGGACCAAAAGTGCGTCCACCTGTAACTCGCTCCCCTCTACTATAGGCAGGCCCATGCGGGGAAGGAAAGGAAGCGAGGGGAATTATGTCAACCATCCCAAATAACAAAATACATCAACAAATACGAAATGCAAGGGTGTGCGTTGGCGCAACCATCCGCCCCCCACCCCGTCTTTAAGGATTCCCTTCAAACTAACTAGAGCTACTTTGGATGCATTAAAATTACTAACCTAACCTAGAAAGCAATTCGTTCTAAATGTTAGATGCGATATACGAAGAGTTACCCTTAACCTTTTAATATATCATAGCATATCAATGTCCCCAGGGACAAAGTAAGTGTCATCCGCTAAAGCCAAATTATTAAAATTGTTCATTGCGGTGGCGTCGACCAAAACAGTTGATAGACGCTCGGTCACTTTATGTACAACTAATGAGTTTATACTTAAATTAACACTGTGATTGAAACGCGAATTAATTTCTAAATTTATCGAAACTTGGACCGTTTTATTGAAGCTTCCAATTACCTTCACTTCGGCACATGAAGGCGTCTTAGCTGGGGGCACGGCAGTGCCCCCGCCAAGTCGAGCAAAAAAGCGGCACGGCCGTACCATCCTTTTTCGAAGCAATTCAGGTCATTTTCGACCCCCTATAACTTCGTGGTCAATAAAACTAGAAGCCTGAATTTTCAGTAACCAAGTAAGCATTGTATAGATATGGTATATTTCAAATTTCATTCAATTTGAACCAGTAGTTTAAGAATTGTAACCAGTTAAACTTTCTTAATTTTGTCACTCACTGACTGACCGATCATCAAAACTCTAAGGCACTTCTAGCAGACATAGAAGCTTCAAATTTAGAATGCAATTAGTGCTTTGACTATAAATCAAGGAAAAACTAAAACATTTGTTAATTTCTGTCCAGTTTTCTAGATACACTAACTGCATAAATAACTTTATAATCCCTTATAAATATATAGAATTACAAAGTTACATTTGCAGTGAATGAACCAGTGTACTCGTATATGTATTACAGGTGTACCTAGGTACGTTGTTGGTACTCAAGAAGTAGAAGGTACTGGAAAGGTAAAAAATTAAGACTATCTTATATACAAAAAGAAATGAGATGCAATCAAAAACATAACTTATAAAAAAAACCAAGTCTCGCAACTCAGTTCTTCTACCGTAAAAAGTTGTGAGATTCGTGTAATACCGAGTCGGTTAATTTATTCAGTTCCTACTTAAGGGTCCTTCTGTTTTAAGTTATTACGATCTCACAACTTTTTACGGTAGAAGAACTGAGTTGCGAGACTTGGTTTTTTTTTACAAGTTATGTTTTTAATTGCATTTACAAATAATCCTAAACGTTGGCAACGTTGATGCATTACAAAAATACTTTAAGGTTCATTACCTAAAGGTAAGTCCACGCTAGAGGAGCCGAGCACGAGCTGAGCACAAACTGAGCCGCTCGACTCGCCGTGTCAAGTATAGACGTATAACCTACATCAATCACTCTCCACGAACGTAGTTTTCTGCAGTACACTCGTGGCTTGTGGCAGATGTGGACCAGTCTTGGGATATACGAGACCATGCATCAATTTTCTTTTTTTTTATAGTAATTGTCATATTTTAGGTCCCATGTCGCTGTAATATTTTGATATAATTCAATTAATTGTAAACGATCATCTCTTGTCCACGTTTCCATGATGCTCGAGCGAAACGTCTGTCACTCAACACGAAGGTGTCTACGAGCACACTGCAAGCGCGATGCAAATCCCTTTGTGTACGTCAAAAAACCGACAATAGGCGGAGCACAGTCGAGCATGAACAGAATGCTCGAAGCGCGCTTCTTCAAATCTTGTAAGTCGGTCCACACCACACGAATTTGTGCTTGACTCAAGCTTCGGTCATGCTCGGCTCGTCTAGCGTAGACCCACCATAAAAATGCACGAACGCTAAGTTCGTTTCCAGGCGTATACCTAAATATAACGCGCTGTACTAAGAAGAACAGTAGTGAGAACGCGAGAAATCTCTTTCAGGTTCGACAGTGAGCACAAGGAAAATTTTTATTTTCAGCGATTTATATAACGTTTTAACTATAAAGTTGATGTTATCGCAGATTTTTTTTCAGCAGCATTATGGTATAGCACGATTAAACCGCAAAACAATCTGTATTAATGCTAGCTCTTACATTATAATTACATTGACTGGCTCGTTGGTCTAGTGGTGGTATGAGGTCTCGAGTTTGATCGGTCGGCACAAAATCAGCAACTAAATCTAAATCATTTGGGATTGACTAAAACCCACAAAAACTCATCAAAATTGGTCCCCCGTTTAAAAAGAGTTTATAAAGATTGTGGATAAAAACTATATTTTTGCAGAAATATTGAAGTGATACTGACATCAAATTTACTTTGCGCATGGAATCTCTATATTTATAAGTAATAATATTAAAACTCTATACAAATGTAATTATTTAGAGTGAGGTTCCGCCTTAATTTCGAACCTTTATGAATTACAGTTATATGTTCGCGTGTAACACAAAACTAAATTTTGAAATTAAAATTTTTGCAGAATGATAAATATAAACCATTGAAACACATTTTAATAAGTCATTAAATAAATACTATTATATGATTTATTTTGTAACTGTTTTTTTTTTGTTAAACTTGGATTTTTTCTGGATACGCAAATAACCTTGTTTCTTTACCAAAACATTATATAAAATTTTTATTCTTGTCATCACTACCCTGAGAGCTACATCTGTGATACAGAAACTACTCGCACGATTCGAAACCTATAAATACTTTAGCTAACTTTGTAGTAGTAGAGTGACGACGCTACAGCAATATTACAGTTGTAGCACGAATGGGTATCTTCGATTGAAGGAGAAGCAAGCTATCACAGAATACCGTCGTAAAATAGCGGCTTAATACTGCTGTGTTTCATACCGAACGGGACGAAACTTTATCAGTTTCCTCTAGTGAAAGGTATCAGTTTCGTAGCATTCTATCTTAGTTTTCAGTGGTGAAAACTGTATGATAATTTTTAATCGATAATAAATCATGATGTCTATGGGCACAACAAAATCCGTCACGCACACATGCACGCACGCACGCACGCACATATACATCATTAACTTTAATAGCATTTGCTTTTTTTATGTTTTTAGAATAGACAGTACTTCAATTAGTTTTTTACAATCTTCTACTCAAAGACAAATACTAAAGTATTCACTTCGTAATTTAAATGCAATGAATAAATGTTTCGTATGCTCCAAATACATGAATATTTATTTAGCGATTGATAAACCAAAAAATGTGCCTCACGTGCGATTCAGGCATATGGAATAGCACCAACATCATCGTCAGTGTACTAGCGGACAGATGGCACAAATGTTGGGGCGTTGGATAAATCTGCATACTGCAAATTAGACACGACATGACCTAGAATCGAATATTAATCTTAATTTTAGTTTTAATTTTATATAGTGGTTATATTTATTAATCTTAAATTTCGTTAATGAAATAGGTTAATATTATTATTTTTTACTAAATATGTATAATTGTCTAAAAAAAAAATAAAATATTATAATTATTTTTATGACGGGGCTGCAACTCATTGACACCACTGTGCCACGGAGTCGTCAAAATTGATAGTTAAAAGTCAAAAAGTATTACATTGAAGACGAATTACGAATCATCTCGCTCATAGATTTAACTCCTGAACAATCCGAAAAAGGTATTAGTATCATAAACCATACACTTCGGCTTATGTCTATGGGACACAGTATTCTTTTATCATCAGGTGGACTCAGTGCTCATTTATAACCCTTGTTTTAATAAAAATAATGTATTAAAGTGGGTGACAAAGATAAATTTAAAAAAAGCATACTCCTAACTCAAAATATTGAGTAAATTTGTAATGCAAAAAGTTTCAAGAGAGGAAGCGAATTCTATTATTTGAATACCAAAAATAAGAAATAAATATAATTTGCAGACAAGCTCTTAAATCTTAACTTGAAAATTTAAATCTTAAGTTTAGTCATATATAGGTAATTTATTTAAGATTTTTCTAATGTGCACTAAAAATTTCTTCTGTATAGTGTTTTATTCGTAAGGATGATCCCGTTTATTTTACACTATATTTACAAAACATTAACAAAATTTTAGTAGTGCTTAAAAATTAGTAATAAATGTAAAAAGTAAGCCAAATCTATGAATTTTTTTCTTCTTTATCTTCAGCTAGTACAAGTCCACAGCTGGAAGTGTGCGCCTACAGTTGTAGGTGCAATTTGCCTTTTTCTTCTTTATCTTCAGCTAGTACAAGTTCACAGCTGGACGTGGACGTATACAGTTGTAGATGCAATTTGCCTTTTTCTTCTTTATATTCAGCTAGTACAAGTCAACAGCTGGACGTTTAGTCTACAGTTGTAGGCGCAATTTGGCTTTTTATTTTTTATCTTCAGCTAGTGCAAATCAAGTAAAACATCGTGAGGAAACCTGCATGTCTGAGGAATAAGAAAAAAAATATTTCGAAGACATGTGAAGTTCGCCAACACGCATTGGGGTAGCGCGGCGGACACTTCCTTGCCCTAAAAACGCTCTCAGAAATGAGGGGAGGCCTATGCCGAGCAGTGGGACGTATATAGGGTGTAACTTTAACTTTAATTTTATTTTTAGTGCAAGTCCACAGCTGGACGTGTTCGTCTACAGTTGTAGGGGCAATTTTCCTTTTTCTTCTTTATCTTCAGCTAGTACAAGTCCACGGGTGGACGTGTATGTCTACAGTTGTAGGTGCAATTTTTCTTTTTCTTCTTTATATTCAGCTAGTACAAGTCCACATCCGGACGTGTACGTCTACAGTAGTAGGTGCAATTCGCCTTTTCTTCTTTATCTTCAGCTAGTACAAGTCTACAACTGGACGTGTACGTCTACAGTTGTAGGTGCAATTTTTCTTTTTCTTCTTTATTTTCAGCTAGTACAAGTCTACAACTGGACGTGTACGTGTACAGTTGTAGGTGTAATTTGCTTTTTTCTTCTTTATATTCAGCTAGTACAAGTCCACAGCTGAACGTGTACGTCTTCAGTGGTAGGTGCAATTTGCCAAATATTATGACCATTTTGCTAGTAGTATCAAGTCATTTGCTAAATGAAGAATAAATTTATAAAATAGTGATCTAAACACAACAACCTAGCAAAAAACGAGCGTACATTCCATCAAATGTTAAGTAGATTAATCAAGGACGATTACATTTTAAGGAATCCAAGACTATTTTATTTTAATGCAGGCAACGTTGTTATCTTTGAGTTAAGAAATGAATCTCTATCAAACCAAATAATTTCTTGAGACAAATAGTCCCATACAAACATCCACACTGTACTTAATTATGGGGTGAAAAAAACACCCTGGCAAAAACGCCGTTGCTGTAAGCAATACACGTACGAGCTTGTCTTCTAATTAGTATTATTTCTTACTTCTGGTATTCAATTAAGAGAATTCGCTTCGTCTCTTGAAACTTTTTGTATTATAAATTTACACAACATTTTGAATTAGGATGACCTGATGATAAAAGAATACTGAGGCCCATAGACATCTACTTCTATCATCCATTAAAAATCAAAATGCAAATTCGTTGTCACCCCTGAGGACTAAAATAAAATTCCTCGTTTCCAGTAATAAGGGTATCTGGTTTTTTACACTCATATGAAACACAGCAACATTCATTGCTTTTTTACTTTCATTCGTGCTACAAACATATTTATAGCTGCAGCATGATTCTACCAGATATTGACCAAAGAGTCTTTTGATAATTTATTTGACGGTTACTTATTACCGGGATCTTTTGAGTTCGCGGTCTGCATCTTGGCGTTAGGATACTGTCGCTTGTTTATTCCATACAAATTTTTATACCCCACTTTTACTACTTTACGTATTGTATTTCTTAAAAAATCCTTCTTGGTCTATACCTATTTCATATAAATACTGAATCCACTGGTTTTTACTATTTATTAATCCGCCAGTCATCATCATTCAGATTAGTCGGGCATTAATGTTTAGAGTTCATACGGCGCACCGATATTTTTAACTTACTATAATTGTGGTGCTTGACTACAATCTCACCTGATGGTAAGTGGCGATAAAGCTCTAGATGGTTAATTGCTATATCTCATCGTGATAAAATGCTATTCACTCTTACTCAGAAGACACTATGTATGTAATCGGGTGAAAATAGGAACGACGGCAAATTATTGCACTTCTTTGCTGTTTGCATTAGGAACGATGTAGCAAAACATTTGGTTCGAATACGTATAATATTGACATCAAAGAGGTTAATGCCCACCGGGATTAACTAATAGATATAGATTTATATGTTACCTGTCACTCAGTATCAGAAAATCCATTTTGACAGCATTAGAGTGTTTTCATCCTGTTATCGTAAGCTAGCTATTTTACGACACCACATATGGTTTGATTAGTGTTTATTAATTTATAAGCTTAGGTTTCAGATACCGATTTTGTATTGAAAAAGGGTGACAAACAATCACAAAGTCCACCCATTGGTAAACGAATGTTGTGGCTCGTAGACATTCATATCTATCCTCGATTATGAATCGATGCAGATGCGTTGACATCCTTAAAGATAAATATAGAACACTTTTATTAAACATATAATTCGTAGGTAAACATACTGTTGACAACTTCGGGCTTAGTGCAACAAATAACTACCAGGTATGACATGGGAATTACACATGACTTTTGTTTTAACCACGTTTATTTTTGGACATAAACGTTAGGCCACACTACTGACGTCATTGAGCATAGATTTTTGGTCCTGCAGTGATTCTGCCACACGCACTGTGTGAACTCGCCGTTGAAATAGCCAATACTTTCAGTTCTTCAATATACCGACAGTCAACTTGGCACCACTGAAGGGTCTTTGTTTCAGTCTACGTACGCAAAACAAAATGGTAAAATATACTCTTCAGTCTTCTGTACAATATGCCGGAGTGTATGTATGTTGTCTATGATACTAATGCCTTTTTCGTATTGTTCAGGAGGCTGTAAGTCGTTAAATCTATGTCCGAGACGATTCGTAATTCATCTTCAATGTAACAATGTGCGCTATATTAAAAACAATAATAATAATTTATTCATTTCAGACAATTATACATATTTGATAAAAACTGTACTATAAACACTTAAAGCATTAAAGAAAATATTAAATATAACCATTACTTTACTTTACTTTACTTATCTTCACGCACAATCTCTAACGGGGTAGCCAGAGAGAACAGATCGCTAAGTGTCACGATCCTTACATACCTCTTTCGCTTCTTTATATAACCATAAATATAACCATTAAATAAAATTAAAACGAAATTTAAAATTAATATTCTATTCTAGGTCATGTCGTGTCTAATATGCAGTATGCAGATTTATCCAACGCCCCAACATTGGTGATCCCATCTGTCCGCTAGAATACTGAGTCTCACAGCTTTTTCGCTTCCCTCAACACCTCAAAAACATGAAAGATATATAGCCATTCGATAATTCTCAACGCATATTGGGCACAGGTATGTATGCCCTTAGATCACTCACAGGCTGCAGTAGAAGGTGACAATTGTTTTTGCAGCGTACAAACCTGGAAACCAACATATTCATTGGACAGTAAAGACCTGGGCTCACCCTCTATACCAGTATTATTAGTTAGGATTTCGATGACCCAGTGGCTATAATTGCACGGAAGAAGTATTTGTATGGCCTAAAAATAATTAATACGAGTCTGGATGTTTGTCTTTCTGCAATTTATGTATGTAAACTGTCCTTACAATGCAGGAGCCAACTCTAGTGTGGAGGTAATGCTTGCAACTTACTTCAAATAAAGAAGGCAGATACACGATCAACATCATCATCATTAGAGCCCTTCAGATGTCCACTGCTGAACATGACATGAATAAGACATTTTTTTTATAGAATAGGGTGACTAACGAGCACACAGTCCACCTGATGGTAAGTGGTTGCTGCGGCCCATAGACATCTACATCTATCCTCCATTAAAAATCAAAATGCAGATGCGTTGTCACCCGTGAGGACTGAGATGGAATGCCTCGTTTCCAGTAAAAAGGGTCTCCGGTTCCTACACTCACCATACGAAATACAGCAGCATTAAGCTACTATTTCACGCTGGTATTCTGTGAGAGCGTGGTCCTTCCCCGGTCGAGCCGACCCATTCGTGCTACAACTATACTATGCATAACTAGACATGCAGAAGGTCGATGAATGCAGGTGGCTTAGAACCGTGTTTTGAGATATTCCGTGGAGGAAACCTATATTCAACAGCGGACAGACACGATGTCAATCTTGAAATGCCACACAGCCTATTATTTTACTAGGGTTCTCGATAACGAGAGGAGACCTAAGCCCAGTTGTAAGACGTGTATATACTGCAACTTTACATTTGTTATATTTTATTTAATTTTAATTACCCATTTACCTAAAAATCTTATGTTACAATAACTGAAGCAAAAGTTGATAAAAAGTTATATTTCGTCTTCAAATTATTGTCATTGATCGCTCGCAGAAAAGAGCCAGATTACAATTGCTACGTTAATTTGACAGATCAGTTTTCTTTAAGAGATTATTCCGTGTAGTTTCAACTCACACATCTTCTCGTCAGGTGTACCTCAAAACCTGAAAAAGAGATTATACAACTATTGCGTATTTCCAGTGATGAATTATAGATCTGAGACGTGGTCTTTGATTTCTGGCCGTATGAGAACGCTGAAGGTCGCTCAGGGAGCTATGGAGAAAGGTATACTTGGGGATTCTCTGCGTGATATACTAGAAATAAGGATATCCGTAGTAGAACCAGAGTTGCCGATATAGCATCAAGGAATGTGGATAAAAGGTTCTCGAGTGGCAGCCTCGTACCGGTATACGTAGTGTAGGGCGGCCCCCTACTAGAAAGGAGTGACGATCTGGTAAAACAAGCAGGATGTAGATGGACGCAAGGGGCTCAATATCGTGCTTTGTGGCATTCCTTGGGGGGCCTATGTTCAGCAGTGGACTTGCAAGGGGCTGTAATGATGATGATGATGAAAAACTTAACTCATTATAAACTGTGACTTAAGATTAAACGAAGATAACACTCGCTTACCGCCAGTATAAAACTACAACTAAGAATCTAGTTCGACGGGTTCATTCTTATTTTTGCCAATTTTTCCATTGGGTTATGTCGGTTACTCTGCTTCTTACTCCTCTACGTTACAGAGGCAATGTATCCTTTGAATAAAAATTAAAAATTAATTATTGAACGTATATCTTCTTAAAATCACTTGCATTAACTATTTGGCAAAGGTTTTTGTTATGAAAGTTTGTGATTATTATTATTAATCATGGCGTGATTTACATAAAGACAATTTGAGTGACTAAAAGTTGCTGAAGTCGTTGAAACTAGTAAGGTAGATCCCACCAAATAGTTATATCCTCTAATTTGGCGGATGTGTGTAAGTACGTAATCCTTTCGAACTTTTGAACGTATTGATCGATTGAGATGCGGTTTACGGCGTTCTAAAGATCTGAATGTGATATAGATTTGATGATAATATAAACTGATTCGGAAGAGTAGATTTTGAGAAATCTCAAAAAGAAAAATTTTGAAAAATTTTTTTTTGGAACCATTTAAACGGCTTAAAGAGCTGATTAGTTCTTAACCTCAAAAAATGACGTCGATTGCCGTTTAGAAAATAAAAATTTGTTCGTCTTATCGAAGGACAAAGAACTTGAAAAAAAAAAACGTTTTTTTTTACATAACTTCGAGATTTCGCAAATTTTGTGAAATTTGGAGCGATTTGCATTTGAAATTGGCGGGAAGTTCTAGGGATGGCCTGCAGGGTCAACCAATTTTTTTTAGATATAAGATGTTCGATCGTGTGGTGACGGTGTGAGAATATTCACTACCCAATATCGCCCCGTGGGTGCCATAAGAGGCGATAGAGGGGAATAAAAGAGAAGAGCGGCAGCTTCTTGCTGCTAACGACTCAAAATAATATAAAACATTAAAAAGCAAATGCGACAAATGAGCTTTTATCATCTTAAATAAAAATTACAAATGTCTATAGGGCAGGCCCGTTTTCAGCAGTGGACTTTTAATAAAGTGTAATCGTAATGGTATTGCGGGGAAAATTTCGTGTAAATTATAGACACTGCCGTTGCGGCAGTCTTTTTTCTTTTCCAACTTGGTTTAGAAATTCCGTGCGTCTAAACCTAATACACATAAAATTAGATAAGATATTTTTTTGGAATGGATCTAGTTAACTAGAATGTATATTATTGTGCAATAGATATACAAATCAAATAATCATTAAATAAATTAGTGCCTAGGGGAAAATTTCTGAGAACATCTATTTTAAGTTAACTAACGTTAAGTTAATACTGAGTTCTGCGGCGCTAATTACATTACTGACTTATTAGGGCGATAAAGTTAGTTTTGTTGACGTAAGATCGATATATCTAGGTCATCTTGAAAGAATATTGAAGTTTATTTCTCTTGTAAGGAGTTGCGGTCTTTAAGGTGCTATTTAGAATTTCATGTTTATGAACTCCAGTAAAACCAGAAATTTTCAGACGCAAAGGTTTTAGGACATTCCAATAACAGATTTACTCAGTAGAAAAATGATGACGATAGTATCGCAACGGGTCTAAGTGGACAAAATAACTTAATATTTCTCTTTTACACAGTATTTTTATATGAGAGAGGGCAAACGAGTATGCGGTTCATCTGATGGTGACTACCGCCGCCCATGAAGAACTGCAACACCAGTGGAATTGCAGATGCATTGCCGGCATTTTAAAAATAGGCTTACACCACTTACTATCAGGTGAGATTGTAGTGGAGCGCTGGTTTATAATAATTATAAAAATGATCTAGATCTGATTAATAGTGTTTGAGTTAACCTTAATAATCCGTGTTGAATTGACTTTTAATTGAATTCGTCTACATTCATGCTATTCTCACTTTATATTGAAGTTGGTTGAACAATTTTTTTAATTTTACTTCTTGTTTTTAAAACAAATTAATTGATTAAGATAGTTTCAATTAGAGAATAAAGGCCACAATTTCGTATAAATTAATAAGGAAATCGTGTTAAATTAATAAAGTAAATAATAAATTTAAGAATACTAAAAAAAAGTGAATGATGTTGTTTATAAAATGCTAAGACGAGTAAAATCATCGATCGATGCAGCGATTCAATATGGACGCGGGACCAGGGACCTTTTCAGTCAGAGTACGATTCATTCTTTCAGCTACTCCGTTCATTTCGGGATTATATGCAGCAGTATACTGCAATACTATGCCTTTTTCATCACAAAAGAATTTAAAATTTCTAGAAATATACACACCACCATTATCTGATTTTAACTTCAATATACCATGACCAAAATGATTACTAGCATAATTATAATAAGTCTTAAAATATTCAAAAACCTCAGACTTGTCTCTTAATAAGTAAACTGCGGTGAAGTGGGTAAAATCGTCTATGAAAGTAACAAAGTGTTTATACCCGTCCCACGTAGAAGGGCTAACAGAACAAACATCGGTATGTACTAGTACTAAGGGTTTTCTAGCCTTATACATTTTCCCATTAAAAGGAAGGCGTGTAATCTTAGCAAGTATGCATGGTTCACAATGCCTATTTTCTAATTTTTTTTTCTTTCAAATCAGTTAAACCATCAACCATATTTTTATTTACTAAAGTTTTCAAACTTTATTAAGCTTAAGTGAGAAAATCGTTTGTGCCAAATTTCTACAACTTCCCAAGTCTTGTTATCCTCTAAAGATTTAATTTCTTCATTTACCGCTTCATACCACCTATCTTTATCGTCATAAGAATCTATATCATTATATTTTTCTGGGACATTACCATTAGAACAAGATAAAAAGGATGCCATTAATATATCACCTAAATTTGAATCATCAGTGACAAAATCTTGTAAATATTTTGGTTTAGTTTTCTTTCTTTTCTCCCATCATACCCAGGTCTTGGGCCGCGTTGTTCCTCACGCGACTCACGCGGTTCACGCTGTGGCCGAGGTCCACGACGTTCGCCACCTTCAGGATTGTCACTGAAGTTGTTACGACGCTCAAAATTAGGCCGACGGGCACTAAATTCGCGACGAGGTGGCCGTGGTGCTCCATCCTTGCTTTCAACAGCACCATTCTGCGGCCGATCGTCGCGGCGCCTTGGAGGCGGACGCTCGGTATTGCACTCACCGGTTCGTGGAGGTCCTTTGCTCTTTTGTTGATCACCGCTCTTATTTCCTTGAGCTTTCACATTTTGGATTTCCTTGATTCCCTTACGGGCGACGACACTTGTACCCTTGGGTTTGGTCTCAGGTTTCCCTTTGTTCCCTTTTTCAGCTTCTTTGATCTTCTTTTTAAGCTCCTTTGCCTGCTCTCGCGCTTTTAACGTATCAAGAGGATCGGACTCGTCGTCCAAAAAAAGAGCGTTTCTGTTATCGATCCCCACACCGTAGGAATTCTCCATTGTGATCCCCTTGATGATTTAATCACACAAAACCTGGATGTTGATGGATATCTTTGCGCACTTTAGTAAGACGACATTTTGTTTCATTTTATTGATTTCATTTAATATGGCGGACAAACGAACACACTAAATGCCATATGACGGCAGGTAATAATCATGATAATTCATTGACTCATTATGTACTCACCTGGAACTTATTAAAGGAACTAAAAATGTCATCGTTACCGGAGACATAAATATAAATCTCATCTATAGACATGACGAACAACCCTACGAACGCAGTAATCGACACAATTATCTGGATATGTTAGCTTCACAGGGCTTCCTTCCAGGTCACTCTATTCCAACGAGAGGACCTAATTGCCTCGATCATTTCATACTAAAACTCAATCATGAACATCAAAATGTCACCATTGCTGTACTCGGTGCCACTGTCACTGATCACAGTATGATCTTTCTAAAAATATCCTTCCCTGATAAAATAATAATAAATAACAAAACTATAACTAAAATCAATTATGACAAGGCTCTAGACTTATTAAAAACAACTAAATTACTACATTACTATTAGAATACAGTGACCCTAATGTTATAACTGAACTTTTAATAAAAAAACTTCAACAGTGCTTAAAATTAAATACGACTATTACTTTCACCGCAGTGAAAAAAAGGATCTTAAAACCTTGGGTTACTCCAGGTATGCTACGCTGCATCAGAAGCAGAAATGATATGCAAAGAAGGCTAAAACTTGACCCATATAATGAAACTTTAAAAATAATATATAAAAGGTACCGTAACTACTGCAGCTGTATTTTAAAAAAGTTGAAAAGGAACTATAATCGAGACCAGCTGACAAAAGCTCAAAAAAACCCTTAAAAAGTTATGGGATACCATAAACGGAATAACCCAACGTAAGTCCCCCAAAACCCACAACCTTGAACTCCTGCATGCAGCTTCGTCTCCAAAAGCATCGGTAGATATCACTAACACCTATTTCACAAATATTGGTAAAGAGCTAGCAGAAAAAATTATAACTTCAAATTTACCGTTAGAGAATCCTAACACAAGCATAAAACAGGTTTCATCATTCATCTTATATGATACTGATTGTGCTGAAATATGTGAAGTTATTAAGTCTATGAAATTAAGTAGCTCACCGGGATGGGATAATATCCCTACCTCGTTTCTAAGGCTCGCTCTAAATCAAATTGCGCCAATTATTTTCCATATGGCCAACTTGTGTTTCGAACAGGGAGTTTTTCCAACTGTACTCAAGCAGGCTTCAATAACACCTATATATAAGGATGGCAGCAAAAGTGACAACTGTAACTACCGACCGATCTCCGTTCTCTAATCAGTGTCTAAGCTTCTAGAAAAATTAATTAACATTAGACTCACCAATTTCATACCATATTTCACCAGTTAAATACTTAGGGGTTCTCGTCGATCAGCATCTTTCTTGGCACCTGCATGTAAAATTGACCATGAAAAGAGTGAGAAAGCTGATCTGGACTTTTAAAACTTTACGTCATATTGCGAGTAAAGAGTTACTTACTCAAACATATGTTGCACTCGCACAATCCATACTGGTATAGTGCATATCAGTATGGGGCTCAGCTGCTAAAACTGCTCTACTATGTCTGGAACGAGCTCAAAGGTTGCTGATAAAAGTAATGCTTCTAAAACCATATAGATACCCCACTGAAGATCTTTATCGGGAAGCTAATCTTCTATCAGTTAGAAAACTATACATATTAGAAATTGTTCTTACAATGCACAAATCTCTTCCCTTTGATGCTAAATTGCTCACCAAGAGAAGAAAGTATAAAGTAGCCTTAGTTCCCACAGTGAAATCTGACTTTGCAAGACGGCAGTACTCTATGCAGTCTGCCTCAATCTACAATAAAATAAATAAGTATCTAAACATATTTCCCCTTAATAAAAAGGATTGTAAGAAAACGGTTTTCGAATGGCTAAAATCAATAAGTTACACTGAGACAGAACTAATGCTTAAAAACTCACATATCTTCGTTACGTGTAGGTATCCATAGGTCTTATAGCGTATACAGGTTCCTATTTAAGGTGAGTATTTGAAATTTTAAATTGAGTAATTAGTTATATAACACAACACTTACGCACAACTAAACTCACACACACACACACACACACACACACACACACACACACACACACACACACACACACACACACACACACACACACACACACACACACACACACACGAGCAGAAGGAAACAAAATAAAAAAATAAATAAAAAAATAATATTAATTACATGTAAACTTGCTTGTTTTAGTGTATATTAGTTGTAATTTAGTTTTCTATGTAACCGTTTGTAAGAAGAGCGGTTCTTCCCACCACAGGCGATGTTTTGCCTAAAGGGGAGTTCCCACATCTAATATTTGTAATAGACTAAGTTACTGAAAATAAAATATTTGAATTTGTTTAACCTGTTTTAAAAACAAAATTTGATCAATTTTTAAATCACGTTGATAAATTATGTATTTTAAACCCCCATATTGCCCTTACTATTTTAAAATATTGTGTCCTTGTACCTAAATTTACATACTTGTTACGTTCAAGTCCAGTCTGGAAATGTTCGGATATTTTAAAAGATATTGATAATAGTCTTAAAATTGCTTTAGAAAACATTCTAAATTTGAGATTAAATACAATAGCCTGGAATCAAGCCACTTTACCTATCAAATTTGGTGGAATTGGTATAAGAAATATTTCTAGCGTCGCATTGCCTGCTTTCCTTGCTTCCGTGCATAGTGTCAATGACCTATGTAACACAATTTTAAATAATAAAGTAGACCTATGCTTTGCTGCGGAGGCAAAGCAAATATGGCTAACGCTCTGTCCCGGCGAAAATGTCCCACTGGAAGTTAACCAACAAAAACAGTGGGATATTCCGTTGGTACGGAATGTACACAAAAATTTATTTCAAAATTTCCATATTCAACAAGATCAGGCTCGCCTTCTAGCTGTTTCGACTAAGGAATCTAGCCACTGGTTACATGCTCTACCATCAAGTAATCTCGGCACATTGCTTGATGGGGTAAGCTTGCGCATCGCCGTAGGAATCCAGCTAGGAGTGGCTATTTGTCAACCTCACCAGTGCCCCTGTGGTAGCAGCGTCGATGAGTTTGGGCTCCACGGACTTTCATGCCAAAAAAGTGCAGGTAGGTTTTCCCGTCACGGTTCTTTGAACGAAATCATCCGTAGGGCTCTTGTCTCTATAAATATTCCCTCGGTTTTAGAGCCTTGCGGGATATTTAGAGACGATGGCAAGAGACCCGACGGTATGACTTTGGTCCCTTGGGAGAGAGGTAAAGCCCTAGTGTGGGATGCTACTTGCGTTGACACTTTGGCGGCCTCTCATCTCAAGGGTACCTGTTGTAGAGCCGGGGCGGCATCAGAGGCAGCCGAATTTAGTAAATGGCGCAAATATGAGTCTTTGAGAAATGACTACATATTTGTGCCATTTGCTGTAGAGACTATCGGTCCGTGGGGTCCACGTGCAATGAAGTTTCTAAAGGAACTATATCCACGACTGGTCGTCGCTGCTGGTGATAAGAGGGCTGGTTCTTTCCTCACTCAAAGGCTAAGTATCAGGCACTATACCACGGGGAGCAGGTCTTTTTGACGATTTAAATTTTTAGTTTTAGGTTTTCTATATTATAGTTTCTTCTTTTATATTGTATATATAATTAGTTTTAATCGTAAATATTATAATTTTAATTATTATTTTAGTTAAGTTATTTATTATAATGTTAAATATTATATTAATGAATTAAATAAATATTAAATTGGATAAAATATTTACTTCACAGTTTGAATTTGAATTCTGAAAGCGGGTAATTGAATATGTTCCCTATTAAAAATGATCACTGAAAATATTTAAAGTATGCTTCAAATTAAAACATTTTCCTTCTCCACCTTTATTAGAACTTAGAAGCAAAGGTCAAGCGACAAAAAAAAATAATTATATGAAATTAATTTGATTTAAAGACATCAGTCCTCATCGGTGGTTCGTTCAGAATTAACGCATACAAATATTACACTTTCTATTTCTGAAATCACAAAAAATTATAATTAATTATACCCATATTGTTAAATGAGAAGTTATCAAGAGGACATTTAAAATATAATTAAATAAAAATATATTACATAAAAAAATTATCAACGACTGTCACGTGTTATAATACCAAAGTGTCTTATAGGTGGTCAAGAATTTCGCAGTTTAATTGGATCATAATACATTTTACGAACGCAGCTAAAACTTTACACCGTCATTAATTTTCGAACGCATCCCGGTAGCCATCTTTTGTTTGTGGCTAAAGTGAAAGTGAAACCGGTGTCCTATTTACCAATAATTGTGTTTTGGTCAAACCTCGACGTATCTTTTCGGTTATGCTTGTAAATTGGTAAGTTTTTATTAATTTTCTCAAATAAAGATTTGGCCTGTTGGAAATCAAGGACATAATTATAAATGGCTTAATTTTTTTCCTAACCTCAAATTTTTCTTTAGCACTTACGTTTGGTTTGAAAATGTCCATTCGGTAGTAACGGGGACCACCGAAAAGACATTAATGAAATATTTGGTTTTATAGCATGTTTTTTTATAGATGCTTAATATACTGTTTATGTCGAGTATAAGCTTCTTGCTTTTTCGGATGGAAAAAGGGCAAAGACTCAAAATAAAAATTCTGATAAAGAAAAGAAAAACAGAAAAAGGGAGCAGAAAAATATACTATGAGAAATTTATGAGAAAAACTGAAACAAACCCCTGTAGCATTGGAGGATGAACCTAGAAAAAACCAGGAATATTATTTAAAAAAATAACAAGGTTGATCAAAACTATTAAAGATATGAGTGCTAAAAATCAAAGATTATTAAAAAATTGAGGTAAAATGCAAGGAAACGAAGAGAGTTTAAGAAAATATAGCGCCAAACATAGAAAATGTTGAACGAAGAC